TCAGAATTGCGAGATGTAAATTCGCAAGTGTTAAAAAAAAGTCAGAATTGCGAGATGTAAACTCACAAGTGTTAGAGAAAAAAGTCAGAATTGCGAGATGTAAATTCGCAAGTGTTAAAAAAAAGTCAGAATTGCGAGATGTAAATTCGCAAGTGTTAAAAAAAAGTCAGAATTGCGAGATGTAAACTCGCAAGTGTTAAAAAAAGTCAGAATTGCGAGATGTAAACTTGCAAGAGTAAAAAAAGTCAGAATTGTGAGATGTAAACTCGCAAGTGTTAGAAAAAAAAGTCAGAATTGCGAGATGTAAACTTGCAAGAGTAAAAAAAAAGTCAGAATTGCGAGATGTAAACTCGCAAGTGTTAGAGAAAAAGTCAGAATTGCGAGATGTAAACTCGCAAGTGTTCGAAAAAAAGTCAGAATTGCGAGATGTAAACTCGCAAGTGTTAGAAAAAAAGTCAGAATTGCAAAATGTAAATTAGCAAGTGTTAAAAAAAAGTCAGAATTGCGAGATGTAAACTCGCAAGTGTTAGAAAAAAAGTCAGAATTGCGAGATGTAAACTCGCAAGTGTTAAAAAAAGTCAGAATTGCGAGATGTAAACTCGCAAGTGTTAAAAAAAAGTCAAAATTGCGAGATGTAAAAAAACTCGCAAGTGTTAGAAAAAAAAGTCAGAATTGCGAGATGTAAACTCACAAGTGTTCGGAAAAAAAAGTCAGAATTGCGAGATGTAAACTCACAAGTGTTCGGAAAAAAAAGTCAGAATTGCGAGATGTAAACTCACAAGTGTTAGAAAAAAAGTCAGAATTTCGAGATGTGAACTCGCAAGTGTTAGAAAAAAAAGTCAGAATTGCGAGATGTAAACTCGCAAAGTGTTAGAAAAAAAGTCAGAATTGCGAGATGTAAACTCACAAGTGTTCGGAAAAAAAAGTCAGAATTGCGAGATGTAAACTCACAAGTGTTCGGAAAAAAAAGTCAGAATTGCGAGATGTAAACTCAAAAGTGTTAGAAAAAAAAGTCAGAATTGCGAGATGTAAACTCACAAGTGTTAGAAAAAAAGTCAGAATTGCGAGATGTAAACTAGCAAGTGTTAGAAAAAAAGTCAGAATTGCGAGATGTAAACTCACAAGTGTTAGAAAAAAAAGTCAGAATTGCGAGATGTAAACTCACAAGTGTTCGGAAAAAAAAGTCAGAATTGCGAGATGTAAACTCACAAGTGTTCGGAAAAAAAAGTCAGAATTGCGAGATGTAAACTCGCAAGTGTTAGAAAAAAAGTCAGAATTTCGAGATGTGAACTCGCAAGTGTTAGAAAAAAAAGTCAGAATTGCGAGATGTAAACTCGCAAAGTGTTAGAAAAAAAGTCAGAATTGCGAGATGTAAACTCGCAAAGTGTTAGAAAAAAAGTCAGAATTGCGAGATTTAAACTCGCAAGTGTTAGAAAAAAAAGTCTGAATTGCGAGATGTAAACTCGCAAGTGTTAGAAAAAAAGTCAGAATTGCGAGATGTAAACTAGCAAGTGTTAGAAAAAAGTCAGAATTGCGAGATGTAAACTAGCAAGTGCTAGAAAAAAAGTCAGAATTGCGAGATGTAAACTCGCAAGTGTTAGAAAAAAAGTCAGAATTGCGAGATGTAAACTCGCAAGTGATCGAAAAAAGTCAGAATTGCGAGATGTAAACTCACAAGTGTTAGAAAAAAAGTCAGAATTGCGAGATGTAAACTCACAAGTGTTAGAAAAAAAGTCAGAATTGCGAGATGTAAACTAGCAAGTGTTAGAAAAAAAGTCAGAATTGCGAGATGTAAACTCGCAAGTGTTAGAAAAAAAAGTCAGAATTGCGAGATGTAAACTCGCAAGTGTTATAAAAAAAAGTCAGAATTGCGAGATGTAAACTCACAAGTGTTAGAAAAAAAGTCAGAATTGCGAGATGTAAACTAGCAAGTGTTAGAAAAAAAGTCAGAATTGCGAGATGTAAACTCGCAAGTGTTAGAAAAAAAAAGTCAGAATTGCGAGATGTAAACTCGCAAGTGTTAGAAAAAAAGTCAGAATTGCGAGATGTAAACTAGCAAGTGTTAGAAAAAAAAGTCAGAATTGCGAGATGTAAACTCGCAAGTGTTCGAAAAAAGTCAGAATTGCGAGATGTAAACTCGCAAGTGTTAGAAAAAAAAGTCAGAATTGCGAGATGTAAACTTACAAGTGTTAGAAAAAAAGTCAGAATTGCGAGATGTAAACTAGCAAGTGTTAGAAAAAAAAGTCAGAATTGCGAGATGTGAACTCGCAAGTGTTCGAAAAAAAAGTCAGAATTGCGAGATGTAAACTCGCAAGTGTTAGAAAGAAAAAGTCAGAATTGCGAGATGTGAACTCGCAAGTGTTAGAGAAAAAAAGTCAGAATTGTGAGATGTGAACTCGCAAGTGTTAGAAAGAAAAAGTCAGAATTGCGAGATGTAACTCGCAAGTGTTATAAAAAAAAGTCAGAATTGCGAGATGTGAACCCGCAAGTGTTATAAAAAAAAGTCAGAATTGCGAGATGTGAACCCGCAAGTGTTAGAAAAAAAGTCAGAATTGCGAGATAAAAAGTCTATTCCCTTGTCTTTTACAATTTTTATTCCATGGCAGAAACAAGCTTCCACATGGTGACCAATAGTAATGATTAATTAAAAATGAATAAATAATGAAATAATGAGATTCGAGGTATCCGTCCCACAGAGATGATCAAAAAGTTTTTCTAGTTCATCATTAATATCAGAGAAAAGGATACTTTGTGATAAAGTGAGAATAAATTAAAATCCTGCTTTTAAATTTTGAGCTGCCTGCCGCATTCAATTGTTTTCACGTTTGATTTTATGGCCGCAATGTGCCTTTTTCCCATTGACCTTGTGTCAGAATTTTCCCTTTTGAATTTCTGGGAAGGTTGAACTCTGAGGAGGGACTTGCTATGTGTTTGAGTTTGACAAACCATTATTAAAAGTGTCAAGGACATCTCACAATGTTGCCCTCCAGAAACCTCATTTTGGATCTGTGAAGTTGTGTATTTAGGTGTTGTTTTTTAGCTTTTGTTTTGTTCCACACTGCTGCTTACTCTTAAAAAAATGGCTGTTTGATTTCATTGTGCTAAAACATTCGATCTGTGTTGATCTCTCTCAGCATTTTATTCAAAAATAAGTTTCTTACTTGAGCAGGCCCACCTCAGACGGAAAAAAATCAAAATGTGATTTAATGCTTGCGGTCAGTCCAACCTATCATTCATGTACACACTAATGCTTTAAACAACCGCGCATGCATTTTAATCGAGATAGCGGCGTAAGAGTCCAAACAAGACGTAATTGATAAGATTGGGAATCAATGCGACACGACTCCTCCAGCGGGGGATGTTTAAGACAGCCTTGCTAATTAGATGCGTGGATGCGGTATTCTCCTCTTGATTTATGTTAATAGGAGTGTTTGTTTTCGTCTCCCACAATAAGCCGAGTGCCTGCTCTATTGGAATGCCATAGATGTGTTCTACGGCTTCATTATCCCTGCCCTTTCCGGCACACTGCGAAGGTCACGCCCGCGTCCGGCCCCTGCGTGGAGGGCAGTGCTCAGGGAAAAACACCTGAGAATAATAGAGTGCGGGACCCAATTAACGTTAAAAAGAGGCCCGGGCGACAGCGCAGGTGAAGCATTGAGAATTGCTCATCATTTTGCCTCGGCACAGACGATAACCCGTGGCCTCTGTTGCTTTGCGTGCCACAGCAATATATCTGAACGCCACTGACAACAGGGCAGGAAACTTTAAATTAGTCTTGTGATTTTCATGATAGATTCTATTCTAGGCTGAATTTTTTTGTTTTGCAGGGTGCAATTCAGACCACTACGTTTGGATTTCCTGTCCTTGCTTATGTGGGCTTGTTTTAAACATAGAAGCATTATATATGTTTATTTATTTATTACACGGCTTTGTGGAATGCTTGATTTGGTCAATTGCGCCATCCAGCAGTATGTTATTCCCCGATAACAACTGCTAAAAAAAGATAACACAGGATCATCCGGGTGACTGAAGTCAGCCGCACTATACGCTTGCTAGGAACGGTTTTCTTTGTGGAAGTTTTTAGAGAGGTATTTTTCTGCTGATGACGATTGACGACTGCATGGATAAAGCAAAGGAACCTCATCAGAAGTCATATGGCTACACCAGCCAGCACAACAAAAACATACAGTACAAGTTACACTGAATACATTAAATATGGTAAAAATGGATTTATTGTTTGCATTATTTTTACCTATACTGGCCTAAATACTAATGTATTTATGTATGTTTTAAAAGTAAATGTACTATGTATACATATATATATATATATATATATATATATATATATATATGGTAAGCTTACTTACCATAATTTTTACTACATTATTTGTAGATTATGTAGTTTGTTTCTTCATTCAGTGTGTGTACAGCATTTTAAATTACATTCGCTGTTCTCTGCTGGTGAAATTATCAATAAATATTATTTTCGGGGCGAACAGTTCATAAACACATAATTTTATGCTAATTTCTTTATTCATTTTTTGCTATGTTTTTCTGTGCAAACATTTGCAAAGACTGCTGGTATTTCTGATTAATGACCCTACATGGAAAAGCATAAACATAGAACAAATATCATTTCTGACACCTTCCATGTCAGTTAAATTGTCTGTCATGGTCTAAAGCGGATGTTCATGGCCAGATAATCTGTCACAGGTCTGTCTAGGTAAGACTACATATCAGCCGAAGAACTTTTACCAGCATTTACCTAAGGCTCCCTATTAAACCTGACATGAACTTTGGCTCCAGGCATCAGTGCAGGTCCACAACTGAATTGCTGTTGTGCAGGAAGTCTTAAGAATACAGAGCTTTGAAAGCAGGACACTATGACCTCTGGCTTTCTGGGAGACCTCTTCCTTCTCAATAAATCTAATAGTTTTTGGCTCCACACTGCAGGTAAGCACAGGAACTCTCAGTCAAAGGCAGAATAGTGTGAATCGTACCTGCAGTGCCGGAGTAGTCCGCGATGCTCAGTGGGTAGCCATCCTCGTCTGGGTCAACAGAGAACAAACCCACTCCAAAAGAGCCGTACTGCGCAAAGGAGGTACTGTTCTCAAAGTCCTCCAGGTCAATCCTTAGCTCGTAGTTGGCTTGAATGGTAAGTGCGTGGATTCGTTTCATGCCTGAAAAAGAGATTTAGATTAAGTTCATGAAAAAATGTGCCGATGAGATTTATTTGAGTATAAAGAGTGTTTGGGTGACCAGCTTGTGCAACAAACATAATTGATACCTCAAATCATGTAGTTTTTTATTATAAATAAAATACATTTTGGGCAATCTATTTGGGACTGCTAGTGGGACAGAAATGTGTGTGTGTATATATATATTTATACACAGTTGTAATCGAATTTATTCAACCCCCATTGCAAATCAGGTTTACTGGCAAATTTTACAGACTTTCAGCTGTTTACAATGAGGAAATCAAACAAAAGTAATTGAAATGGCTCAACACAACAAATGTTTCAAGTGGTTTCCCCTTCTGCGGTCTCAAAATTATTCAACCCACTGAAAAAAAAGCACAAGTTGTTGTCTCAAGCCCATCTGATACAACTAATCAAGGGCTTCATTAGTTGCACAAGGTGTGCTTGAGCTAGAACACATGAAATATCTGAACTGGCTAGGTTTCTGGCATATCATGTTTGACTGCAAATATGGCTAAGTCAAAATAATGGTTCAAAAAGTTGAGACAAGATATCATCACCCTTCACAAACAAGGAATATGATACAAAAAGCTAGCAAAGGCACTAAATGTTCCTAGAGACACCGTAGTGAAGCTTACTTCGCAAGTTCAAAGTTAAAGGAACAGTGGTTATATATATATATATATTAGAGCTTTCACAACTACTGATTTTTGCTAGTCGACTAGTTGTGCTTGACAGTCGACGACTAGTCGACTAGTCGTTAAATGGTTTACTCTAGGGGTGTGCAATATCACGAATAGTAAATGTCTCCATGATCTGCTTTTGAAGAAATATCGTAGTATCGTGTTGAATGGATAGGTACGGGACACTGCAATTCACAAAAGTTCATTATTTGCATAAGCCTTGCCGATTAAATATTTAATTCATGCTCTGTTCTAACGTGCGCTTTCCTGAGCAGCACCTGAATAGTGGACTAAGTTATCTTTCGAGTCTTATTATGCTAATGCTGTTAAATACACACAATGTTAACATAAACAGAATTGGCTATGTCTAAAGTGAAAGCAAACATTTGAGAGAAAATCTGGTGTTAAACACTTCGCGTGCTGGTCTAAAAGCGACAGTAGTACCCGTATTTTCCGAATTATAAGGCGCACTTAAAAGCCTTTTTAATTTTCTCCAAAAATATCGCGCTCGTGTCCATCTTATGCCCGCTTTGTCACATGGCCATTTCAACCTCGTATAAATCAGGTTATGTGTGTAAGTCACGTGCCCGCTCACGAGCGCTCATTCTTAACACACACACAAACAGGCACACTGTGCCATTTGAAACTTCTAGAATGATTTTTATAAAGCTTGTATATTTAAGTTCAGTAATTTCACTTAAATGGCAATGAAGATTACCTATTACTTGCCATTTAAGGGAAATTACTGAACTTAAATATAAAAGCTTGAAAAAAATGATCATTCTAGAAGAAAATTTCAAATGGCACTTTTTTGCATCTGAACTCTTCATATATATATATATATATATATATATATATATATATATATATATTTAAAGTCTTGATATAGTGAAACCATTAGCGAATTGACATTGAGATTGTCATTCCTACAGGCTAACCCCTGTAACTGAGTTATTTGTTTTCAAACTTCTCACTCTAACATTAAAAGAACTATAGCAGTGAACTTTAGGATTCCATTGCAACATTCATAGCAAAGTTCTATAGTAAGAGACGCAACATTGTGAATCTGAAAGCACAAAATGCACATCTTCTTCCTCAGAGGGTCTGCTAGAGACATAACTTCTCATTCTTAGCTAAGACTGGCTTGAAGGACTCTGGCATACTTCCTGGGATCAATATCTCAACGGGAAACCCAGATTTTAGTAAGTTCTGCTCTTAATATTCCACCCAGTTTTCACACTGAGGAGGAGAGGTGCTTGACAGGAAACTAATGTGCTTGCCTACAAATGAATTCCCTTTGTAGCCCATTCACGGCATGTGCGAGTTCCCCCCGCCCCCCCAGGACAGAAAATCAATACAGCAGAGTTTTGCTGCTGGTCTTCAGCTGTTGTGGACCGGAGAGCATGTTAGAGTAAGGTGTTAGGTGAATAAACTTTAGCTGCATGCGGCCTTAATTTGCTAAACAGAATGTGTTGCTTAAAAAGCATCACACTGTGCCTAACAGATGTTCAACAGTCATTAGATATCTACAATAAAAGAGCTTCGGGTTATGAAAATATCTTAACATTAGCACTGACACAGAGGTATTGTTTTTAAGTCAACGTGAAGCCATTCACAACCCGCTTCTTTGCGTAAACTGGCAAATTTCACCGTAAAACAAGATATTCAGTGAGAGAAAAAAATAGGGTGGGACTTTATTTTATTAGTTTGTCATTTTTGTAATTTTAGCATTTTTTATTAGCTTTTTATTTTGCTTTATTTTAAGTATTTTTAGTAATTTTAGTACTTCAACTTCAACATATTTTTAGTTAGTTGCAGAGGGAAATTTTCAAATTTATTATTTATTTAATTTATTTTTCAAAATAGGGTGGGAGTTTATTTTATTAATCAGATAATTATTGGATAATGAAAAGTGGCCGTATCAAAGTCGTTTGAAGAGAGGGGTTGAAAAGTAAGAGAGATTCATGAAAGAAAAGCTGTCAGAATACTAAAACTTATTGGGATTAATTAGTTCATGCTAATCCAAGTTATATATATATATATGAATTAGTCTTGTTTTTTCAGTTTGTCATTTTTGTAATTTTAGCATTTTTTATTAGCTTTTTATTTTGCTTTATTTTGAGTATTTTTAGTAATTTAGTACTTCAACTTCAACATATTTTTAGTTAGTTGCAGAGGGAAAATTTCAAATTTATTATTTATTTAATTTTTTCTTTTTCAAAATAGGGTGGGACTTTATTTTATTAATCAGATAATTATTGGATAATGAAAAGTGGCCGTTATGTATCAAAGTCGTTTGAAGAGAGGGGTTGAAAAGTAAGAGAGATTCATGAAAGAAAAGTTGTCAAAATACTAAAACTTATTGGGATTAATTAGTGCATGCTAATCCAAGTTAATATATATATATATATATATATATATATATATTTGAATTAGTCTTATTTTTTCAGTTTTGTCATTTTAGCATTTTTTATTAGCTTTTGATTTGGGTTTATTTTTAGTATTTTTAGTTTTAATAATTTTAGTACTTCAACGTCAACATATTTTTAGTTAGTTGTAGAGTAAAAATTTCAAAGTTTTGTTTAAGTTTATTAAGTCTATTGTTCACCCCTTTGCAGCTGAAATGCTCCCCACACTTTGAACCTAAAGTTAGAAGATAGCCCGGGTGAGAAGCAGCAGTCTATCAGCCTCCCCGCAGTCCTTCAGAATAGACTAACATTTGTTCAAATGATATTGGCATAATAACAGAGATGGTTATGATGGCTTTGAATGGAGGGGGACTGGTGTGGTACCGTTCCAGCAGCAGCCGAGCGCAACATCAGGCTCTATTAAACACCAACACCCTTCTAATGGTCTCTGCGCTGACTAAATGGATAGGCCATTTGCACTCGAAGGTCATTTCTGTTTCAACCCAGGGACCCAGAAATGTTACACAGAGGTGCGATACATCAGAACAGGCGTGCTAAACACAGAGGGCTGGCTGTGCTGCTCTTCATCTAAAAACTAATGTGCGTATGATTATCTTTAACTGGTCGGGGTTTCAAACGGCTCCAGATAACCTCATACGAGACCCATCTTCCTATTGTTTTGGACGATATGATCTGAACCTAACTATACTTTGATTAGTATAGTCAACAAGCTTACATTGTTTTAGTTGCCGTGTTTTAGTCTTTTCATGGCAGTATCTATTAACCTAAAACTTTAGGAGTTTTTTTCCTAAAACGTTCGATTTTGACATCTTAATTTCAAAAGGCTATATCTTAAAAGTGAAAAAAAGATAGATACTTTCTGTAAATTAGAGAAATATTAAGGATGACCCAAAGTTTATGTAGGGATTACATTTCCCATCTAATTTGAATATTTTGGATTATAGAATTTTCATGAAAAGTCACGTTTAAATGGGGATGAAGTATGACTTGTCTGCCATCCAGTGGATTCTGCCAAATCGGCCGTTTTATTTAGTGCATCTTGTCAAGTAAACTCGACCGTGGTGCCTAGAGGGTTAAAGCAAAATTAAACCGTTTTTTTTTTTCATACAAAGGTCCTTTACATGCAATCTGCGAGCAATCACATTATTATCGCACGGAACAAGCTGATTTGCCTCTGCTGATCCAGCAGCCAATGAGATTGCTGATCAACATTTAAATAGTGTGATTCAGTGTTTGCTAGGCTAATCATTCAGTATACGAAAACCTCTGAAACCCTCCACCTCCCCCAGCTCCACCTGTCTATATCTGCTACAGGATTTAAGTATGTTTGATTATGCAGACGCGACGCCGCGACACACGATAAAAGGTATCTTTTCCATGTTAATCAGAGTTTTTCTCCAAACCATCCGCGACGACGACATGCAACGATCCTATTTCAGAAACGGTTTCTATTTTTCTGCAACATCGCACTGGAACAACAAACAAAAGGTGTGGCAATGATAATCTCAGGTACACTCTTAGAAGAAAAGGTTCTACATATCAGAGCTATGTATTTGGAACCCCTAAAAGGTTCTATACAGAACCCTTTTTAAGGGTTCAATAATAAGAACCCTTCTACATGGAACCTTTTGGGTTCATTCATTATCATTTGTTTTGTTCTTTCCGGATAAAATATTTCATATTATTGACAAACATCAAGACCCTAAAATGTATTTATGAATTCATGTGAATGATCACAAAATTCAAGATATGGGGGTTAGACAATGTATATATTTATATCATTTCATGTAGTGCATTTCAGTTTTTCTCCTCCAAAAATCAGCATGATTAAAATGTGATATTAAGTTCCAGTTTAATAAATAATAATTTA